TGTGTGTGTGTGTGTGTGTGTGTGTGTGTGTGTTCTCCATGATCTAAGAGGATGGCCATTGCTGGAAGTCCAGTAAGCCGGTGGGAACAGTAATTCCTACCCCGTGCTAATCCAGTCATTCATCAGGGACCATTACATCTCAGATGCCCCTGCCTCCTCCCTCATCTCATGGAGCCAAAACAAAATGACACTAACTCCTAAAGCTGTGAGGCCTAAGCTCCACTGATTCTGGGGTGTGGTGCCACAGAGCTTTCCTGTGTGTGACCATCAAATCACAGAAATATCTAAAGTTTATATCCCCGAACCAGTCCAGCTTCCTTGAAAGAGACGCATGCTAAGGGCTAACCGCGTAGATTAACGCATCTGCTTGAGGTTTATTATAGGTGAATATGTCATCAGTGGCTGTGATACATCTAGGGTTAGATGTAGAGGGTGATCTAATGCTACTGGATTTCAAACTGAATATATCCCTCTGTGATTGTAAAATACCATTCAGTGTACAACTTCCAGAGAGAGTTGTACTATAAAAGAAATATTTACATGAATTTAAATGTTATACAATACATCAGATTATTACTATTTAGATTAGCGAAACCTTAAAAATTATATTTTTTTACCCCAAGGCTCTTGTAAATTTAGAATTCCCTTGAATGCACAAAAAGTGAATTGACCATTTTGTGAATGAGTCCTGCCGAAACCCATGATAGGATATAACTTTTTCAGTTTTGTTGATCCTCAGAGCCAGTGGCGACAGCTGTCTTTCCGACTGTCCAACCACATGCACAGTGACGTGGTTAAGCCCGGGATATTTCTAGAAGCCGTTGGTATTCACACAGAAACCAAAAACACAGACAGTCACACATATTCACTGGGAAAAATATTCCAACCAGAGAAGTTTTGAGCAACTCTTTAACATATTGATATTTATAGAAAGAGAACCCATAAATAACCAAATACCTCCACATAGATGATTCAAATAAGCTTATCCTACTTTCACAATTTGGTAGATCATTCTTTACTGATTTTAAAAGTCTACACTATCTGTGCATCTGCAGTGAAAACACTCCTGCCTTTAGTTTTGTCTAGATAAAAGCATGATTCAGTGTTTGATTTGACGAAGACATGAGTTAGGGGTGTAAAACTTCAGAAGAATCTCTTTGTCTGAGACTGTTGTCTCCTGATGAGCTCAGTTACTGATCCCAGTGTCTGTCTGTTTGTGTGTGGGTGTAAATGTGTATGTTCTTAGGATTAACTAAGGTGAAGTCTGATCAGTTGGAGGTGTCCAGTGTCCCCTCTGATGGGGTCGTGGTGTCTGCCAGCCCCAGATGGATGTCCTCTGTCTGGCTGCAAGCTAAAGGCATCAGGTCCTATAGAAGTGATCCCTAACAGCTCGGGATGTAACATTATACACAAATGTGCTGACTTAAGAACCTACATTTCACGCTTCGCAGAGCCTGCACCCACTTGGATCCCCTTGCTCCCAACGAACATAGTACGCCACACAGGGAATTGCCCATTGGGATGTGTGACAAAGAACAATGTTGTTTCACCCCCCCACATCACTCCTCGACATCAAGGGGCTTGTAACCCAATTTCGTGGCTATCTTTAAAAATCAAAGACAAACCAAAACACTAACTACCGCCTCCTTCCCCTCCTCCAATCAAAGAGGTGGAGGGGAGAAGCGGGGGACACAAAAAAGGAATGAAGAGAGGAAAAAGCACTTCGACAAGAAGGGAGGCGGGCATTTGAATACAGGCCTCGACAAGGCTGTCAAAAAGAGAGACTCAGAAAAAGGAGGTGAATGAAAAGAGAGTGGATCTTGCAGAGGCGTTCTCATAAGACCATGAATTGAGTGTAATGTGTTTACTCAGCACAGCTAATAACTCTGTACAGGGGGCACGCCTTTACTCTACACAACCACACACACACGATCAAGTGGAATGGGATGGGATGTCAGTTCCAATTGCAACTCCGTTGTGAAAGTCTGAATAATCTCATTCGTACATTGCGGGCCTGAGTCCGGCTGGTGTTATCTAATTCCAGTGGTAAAGCGAGGCTTATCTTAATTCGCAATTTTTTAATTGTCAACACACAGCGACAATGCAGAATGTGACTGGCTTTATATAACACAGTGCAAGAAGATTAGGACTGTAAACAGACCTTACTCAGCCATGGGCCTTGTGTGACAACGTGCGCCTGTGTTTATGTGGGCTAATCTACAGTATATGTTTGCAGACGGCAGATTTAACTGCCGGCACTCTGGACCCTCTGACCCGGTGTTTAAAATGAATATGAACATAGGCATGAAAGGGGCAAACATCCCCTGCACTACACTCAATGAATGCAGAAATAAACAGTTAGACAGAAGCGGACATAATTATCAAGTTTTTACAGTTTTTGCTAGACTTACCAAGGATGGAGACCTTGCTGAGGAACTCTTCGTACATCTTTCTCTTCCTCAGTGTGCTTCCCTGTAAGACAACAAGAGGAGAGACATCCACCATCACACACTGTGAAATGCTGGGAGCATTACAAACACAGCATACAAATTACATATGTGGTTACTCTGCAAACTATTGTGATCATAATACATTTAAGGTTTTCCCTGAAACTGCCTTTCAATGGTTCTAATTTGTTAAAATACAAATAACTATTAGTTGGGAAATGCTGCTAAAAAACTACTAAGTTTTGAAACTGTACATGTTTGGTGAACAAATAAAATAGGGAGCATCCTTAGTTCACAAACAGTAAACCTTTTTTTGGAACTAAAACATTGTTTTTACCTTTGTTACACTTTCATTCTGTTAATATATGGTCTATGTAATATTTCTCTCTTTCATACATTTATCACTAAAATGTGTTATTCTACTGTAACATTTATTTTGTAACGCAACTAACCAATTGGTCTTGAAAGCTAATTGTGACATAAACACTTGAATATGTTGTAAATTATATTTTGAATGCAGTTCATGGGGTCACACAGGAGGTGTGTATGACTTGTGTGGTAACGTTCATTGCATGTGTGTGCCGTGTGTGTGGCCCACCCCACCCACCAGGCATGGGGACTTTCCCCTCTCTGCCTCTGCCATGAGCATCAGGTGCTTCCTGACAAGTCTAGACCCAGAGGACCCCTTCCCCAAATGCATTTCTCCTTTTTCCCCCCCACCTTAGATGCACAGAACCATCCGGAGAGATCGGGGGCATAAAGTGGAACAGAGAGAGGGAGGAGAGATGATCTAGTCCGCCATGTGTCTGCTTCTGCATATGGAAATGATATATTGAGGCTTGGGGTGTCTTTAGTGCATAAGTGCCTGATTCCCGCTGCTGCCTCTAATTTCATATAATTTCACATTTTGTCTTAAAAGGGGAGAAAATATTCCCAAGTGAGCCAATGTCAAGCTCAAAGCCGTAAACAACTTGATTAAAGGAATTCTAGCCTGCATCGCCTCCCTCTTGGATAAATGATTATGAGTGTGTGTGTGTGCGTGTGTGCGCGTGTGTATTTTGTGTGTGTGTGTGCGTGTGTGTATTTTGTGTGTGTGTTTGTGTGTGCAAAGCGTGGAGTTTGTTTTAGGTTCTGTCATTTTCGCTTTGCTGTATTTGCAGAGAAGACACTACATGCTCATTAAGCAAGCAAATATAAACACTCACACATGTATACTGTGCCTCTAACACAATCTCACACACACCCACAAACACACACTCACGTGCACCTTCCACAAAAATGTTGCGTTGGTCTCTTGGTTTCATAGCCTCCCCATAGAGCTCCTCAGACAGGCTTGCTGAGCTTAAAGGCTTACCATGCATACATAACATTACATTACATTACACAGCAGGTCTGATTTATGCTACTGGTGTAGGAAGGGCTGGGTGGGCCAACATGAGGGTGGAAGGAATGAAAATTATACTTTTCAGAAATTCTGATTCTGATGTCATAACTTATTTTGTTGGTGTGCATATTTTTTGTCTTTTAAAACTGTCCTTCTCCTTTCTTTCTACTTGGGAGGGCCTGAGCACATGCCTCACATACAAAACTCCCTTACTCCTGCTGGCCATAATGCTCCTCCTGTGGTTAAAGATGAACCAGCCTCTGTGTCTGCTGCCTGTCTTTGAGGTGGAATCATCAAAGGCTTGAGGTGTGGAGCGAAGCCAGTTTAAACCCACCATACCTTACGCCTCATCACCATTACCTTCATCTATGTCCAACATAAAAACACATACACCCCCCACATCCCTCCGCATCTCTTGGTATCATTTCTCCTTGTCTCCTTTCGGTCTGTTTTCTGTTTGTTGACGGTGGTCTGTCAGTTTGTAAAGCTTTGTCTGTAGCTGTGCCTGTTTAAGAACAAAGATGACACAAAGAGGCGGGTATTGTATGACTGGCATCAACACAATGGAGAGAGTGTGTTAATCCCATGGAATGGTATTACATATTTGACTAAATGCACTCCTGGGTAAGGAGGAGAGGAGGATGTTGGGGGTTTTGTGTTACAAGATTACATTACATTGCATTTAGCTGACGCTTTTATCCAAAGCGACTTACAATAAGTACATTCGACCAGGAAGACACAACCTTGAAGAAAACAGAATCATATAAGTACATCAGGTTTCATAGAGCCAAACATTCAAGTGCTACTCAACTGGCTTTAGATAAGCCAGTCCTTTATTAGTATATAAGTGCTTTGTTAATAGTTCTATCGCTCGAAGTGGAGTCGAAAGAGATGAGTTTTCAGTCTGCGCCGGAAGATGTGCAAGCTATCTGCTGTCCTGATGTCAATGGGGAGCTCATTCCACCATCTTGGAGCCAGGATAGCAAACCCACGTGTTTTTGCTGATGGGAACTTGGGTCCCCCCTCGCAGCGAGGGCGCAGCGAGTCGTTTGGCTGATGCAGAGCGTAGTGCACGCGCTGGGGTGTACAGGTTAACCATGTCCTGGATGTACGAAGGGCCAGATCCATTCGCAGCATGGTACGCAAGTACCAGTGTCTTGAAGTGGATTCTAGCAGTTTACCGGAAGCCAGTGAAGGGAGCGGAGGAGCGGTGTGGGTGTGGAAAATTTAGGAAGGTTGAAGACCAGACGAGCCGCTGCATTCTGGATGAAGCTGCAGAGGTCGGATGGCACATGCAGGTAGACGCAGCCAGGAGGGAGTTGCAGTAGTCTTAGGCGTGAGATGACGAGAGCCTGGACCAGAACCTGCGTCGCCTTTCTGTGTCAGCTGGGGTACGGTACACAGTTCTCCTGAGTTGTAACTGGACATGTTCTCTCGTGGAAGCAGCTTCAAGACCAGTTCTGATAATGCTGACATCGGTGTGTATATGTTTTCATTGGGTGATGGTAAAACGTCCAGGGTAAAATAATCTACAGATTGAACATGTACATGCACTAAAATAGGTCTGGAATACAAATATTTATCAATGAAATATCTTTTAAATGTTAAATATAACTGCCTCACAGTTGTATGCATCCACCAACCAGTCAAATTCCAATTTAGTTGATTTCATGTCTAAAATGTAATTACATCTTATTAGATATTTGTCAGTTAATCAATTCACCTTTAAGTCCAGAGGACATTGGTGCCAAATGTTATGAAATTGCTTCACGAGAATGGGACAGACGCAAGGACCTATTGATTAAAATACAAATATATTCAGCTCTATTTGAGAAACATTCCCAAAACAAGATAATTTGCATCATGGTTTGTGAACTCCAATTGGATCGACGAAAATCGAAATGGACAATTGACAAGCATTAAAAATAGCAAGAGTTGCAACTGGCAAAAGGTTTGGTGGTTGCAAAACTTTAATGCAAACAGCGAACGTTGATAACCTTTGAGGGATGTAGTTGCTCAAGATGGTACAATTAATCAGAATATGTCAACTTGTGTAGTTCACTATAAATATAAACACGTAAATCTTCCCTGTCAAGTTATTAATTACGATCCAGCAGCGGAGCAGGACAAGAGAGAAGCAGATGTGCAGTTAATGAATCTGATGGTAGCTGCAGCTCACCTTCCAGAGCTCCTGACTAACTAGCTGCAGACACAAGCACTCAGCATAATTTCACTGGGAAACACACACACATACTTAGACACACAGAGAATGCTCATTGTGTTGGCCTGAGACGTTGCCAGAATACCTCTCTTTATAAAAACAGCTTTACAAACCGTTGACAGCAATAATTAACTACAGGTTCACATAATTGAATTCTGCTTCACCCCGTCTTTCCTCCTGCTGCTGCTGGAAGGAAAGAAGGAATGACAGCCGGAGAGAAAGAGAGGGAGGGAGGGAGAATCCTCTCAAAGAAAGGTTACCAGGGCAGGACTGTGCCCTCGGTTAAACTATGTGCTTAAGAGGTGACATGAGTGCTGGGCAGGCCAGTGCCAACTTTACATTGAGCTGAAAGGTCCAAACACAGACCGTCTTCCATCTCTGTGGGCTCAAACTGTGTGGCACAAAGCCGGATCTGTCACTGCTGCTTCACACTTCAAGGCTCAGATGCACAGGATGTTTGGAAGCTTAATTGGAGCATATCTAATTATTTGGAGTAAGGTGTTGGAAACATTTTAAGGAAGTATTTAGTTGGGCATGTAGACAGTAATGAAAAGTGTGTGGATGTGTGTGTGTGTGTTTCCAGTTTAAACATTTAGACATTCCTGCTAGATAAGCTCCTGGAGCTGGGAAGTGTGTGTCGAGGCATTAGGGTTGACTCGCCTTCACATAGCCTCTCTCTTTTCCCCTTTCTTCATCTCCCAACATATCCAGAGAGACATTAAAAAAGGTAGAATAGACCTGGAGGTGATTTTGTTTTTGATTACGTATATTTTGCGTTTGAAAAAGAAATCAACACTTTTGAGTGTTTTAAGGACTCTTAAGTGGTTGAGTGGGAGAATATATTGCATGTAAAGGACCACAAATGATAAGAGTGTAAAGTCTGCCGAACTGTTTGAATAACATATATTTTGATATATAAAAGACCAACCTGTAGATATTTGTGTAAGAAAACGTAGGGTCGAACAAGTGATGCTAAAGTTACTCAAAGTGTTTTCTCAAGTAGAGAGAGGAAGTGTGTAGATGTTCGCTACCATGAGGATGCGCCGGTAGCTGTCTCGGTCGATGCCCCACAGTTTCAGATCCGTCTTGGCCTTCACGGTAGCAGCTCTTGGAGTCCCATAGATCAGGGCCAGCTCTCCAAAACTACCTCCTTCTCCAATACTGGTCACCCACTCCCCGTTCACGTACACCTGCAGACGGAACAAGAAACAGAATGATGGGGAGAGAGTCATTTATTTTACGCCTGAAGGATGGCAATCATTGCTTTGTAGACTGTGAACATTCAAACCATCTTGAGATAGATTTCCAACCTTCCCCTCTACCTCTCCTTAGTATCCGGGGCCGTTTGACATGCTCACTGGGCCTGTCGTCTGAGCATTTGATCCCCACCTAAGCCCTCAAATGAGACACTCTAAAATGGCCCTCTATCCTTCCCATCTCCCCGTTCATCCCTTTATTTCCTTTTACCTGTCTTTTTACGACCTACCCTTTGATTTAGAAGTGATGGAGGACAGAAAGCAGTGGTGGACCTTGTGGGTCTACTTAGTATGGCATTCACAGGGTTGTCCATCTACATGCACAAACATGCACGTCTCCATCTAGGCCAGCCACTATAGCACTACAGACAATGCAACCTCATTGAGCCTCGCTCAGGCTGTCTCTAGGGCCGTTACGGTTTCACCTGTCGACACACTATCCACCATATTGTTGACTTAAAAACACAGAGAGAAAGGAGAGAGCAAGGGAGGGTTTGTCCCTTCGGTAGCTGTGAATTGCCAAAACTGTTGCAAGCCATTATTCAAAGGCTCAGAGAAGACCACAAGGGACTTATCTTTTACTATAACCTGTGGTGTGCTTCAAAGGGATGCAGAGCTCTGGCTACGGTTACGTCAGGCTTAGAAGAACAATCATATAAGTGTTGCAAAAGTCTTACATCATAGCGTACAGTACAGGTAATATGTTGTCACTCCACAGTTTCCCGTTACACTCCTTAAAAACTCTTGATCTGTTTGTTTGGTCTTCATTGTTGTACAACTGATCCTCTAAGGTTCCACAGACACTTTCATGTATTTCCTGGTCAGGTGGAGCTGTATCAAATGCTTGAACAATCAGCAAGAAGTCCTAACTGGATCAAGTATGCACTAGTAAAGCTTGAGTAAAAACTGATAGTATGTTCAGACTTAAATTGGAAACACTTGTACTGTATCAAGTCAGCACTGTGCATGAGGTAAAATGGAGTTCATCATAAAACAATTTAAGTCCTAAACTGTGTATGCTGTTGCACAGCTGTCACTGGATTTTCAACATGGGAATATCTGCAGTAAACTGTGTGCGCCTGCTGGTAATTAAGTAGCAACAAATCAAAAGTCCTGGAAGGCGGATTAGCAGTCAGTGTTTGTAGTTAGGCTCCTCTGTGCATCCCCTGTTTCAATGTGTGAGTGAGGGTCTCTATTTGTTGTCTTTTTGGCAGCAGATGTTTTAATTTGATTTAAAAATGCCATATTTACTTTAATAGCAATACTAATTAGGGCTGTCAAAGATGAGATAAGCAAATGTGTAAAAATACATAATCAAAAGTACTAATACTTGGATTTTGTACTTAAAAGCAAAGTAAATATATAAATAAAATACAATAAATGAATAGCTATTGCATAGATATTTGTCAAGGTTTGAAATTAAATTAAATTAAATTGTTTTGTGTTGTTTGTGATTTCCAACAACAAATGCATATATATTTGCATAAAGCAAGCATATATTCTGTACCTTTGGTAAATCATGCAATTCATCACGATTAATATTTAAATCGACTGAAGGCCCTAATGTCAATAAGAGCATAACTGCTTATATAAATGTGAAGGTACTTAAGTACATTTTCTTAAGACCTTTGCTGGCAAAATCTCAAATATAACTAGAGAATGCAATTCCTGAAGAAATTGCTAGTGGGAATGCTTTATGCTGAAAAGCTGACGCTAAACTGCTATGCTGAAATGTAATGTGCAAGAAGAAAGTGAATAATTTAGATTGAAATGATACATGAACCACTGGGGGCTTGAATAAGAGAAGAAAATAAAGTAAAAAGGCTTGGAAAAGCAGCAGAATATTTGAACTGCAAACTTTTGAACTAACTTGAATGGCGAATGATCTGTCGCCATGGCCAACGGCATTTGATGACACCCCATAATACGCTTAGATGCGTTGATGGCTGCATCGTTACCAAACCTGTGAAGTGTTGGGCCGTTTGGAGCATTTTCACTGAAGTTATGAGAAAACCGTGTTTCATGGTGAGCATTGTGTTGCCATGGCAACGGCATTTGAAGGAATTTCAAAACTGTCCCGTATATGGTTTTCACGGCTGGACTGTTAGCACACATGTGAAGTTGAGCACTTTTGAAACATTTTCATAGGAGTTATAGCGGACATTGTCTTTTATGGCGAGGGATGAGTTTCCATGGAAACGGCATTTGATGACACCCCATAATTGACGTAGAGCTGTTGAGGGCTGGACCGTTAACCATTATCTGAAGTCTGCTGCTCTGAGCATGTCAGTTGGAGTTATGACATCATCGTGTTCCATGACACAGCTAAAGCTAATGACGTGTCCAGAGATCAGAGGTTTCCATGGTGATGTGCAGTAATCTGTGAGAGGAGAGCATTTTCATTGTTCTGAATGAGAGATAAACCGCTTACATGTGAACGTAACAGATATAGGTGAAATTTAAAAGCGTGAAGCCTGTCAAGGAACTTGAGCATCTGAAGTGTACCTTTTGTGCACTTTCGGGTCAATAATGTGGCCTTTTTGGCAGATTAACTAAAGGTGTGCGGCTGCTGTGGTGGGGAAAGATGAGGCTGAATTTACAATGGGGTTTAATGGAGACATGTTGAAAGTTGTTGTCACTCCATGCCCTCAAGAGGCATTTTGTTTAATTTTTTTTGCTTAATTTTTTTTCTTTTTTCAAGCTACAAGATGTTTTCCTACGTTTGTCATGCAAATTATGTCTCAGGAGTGTAGGGTTTGGGAATTATGGCAGGTTTAAAAGAAATATGAAGGCAAATTTCAAGCTGTCCTCCACTCTAACTGTGACATCACGCACTCTAGCGTTAACGAGCTGCGCAATACACACTAATGTTAAAATATGAAGAAGGACTCTTTACCAAGGTCTGAACAATGTTTAATATTTCTAAAAGTATGAATCTGATTTAAAAGTTGTGTTACACGAATAATGTCAGAAAGATGTGTAACATTTTAAAGTTGGAATGAGGTTTCTGAGTGAAAGTATGAAGGAACAGTTAGCAGTTGAAGTTGCATAAAGATTTCTCAAGTCTGAAGAGTTTCTCCATTGACATCCATGTTAAAAATGTGATGAATTATGGGATATATCTCTGGAATTATGAAAGTTATGAATGAGAAAAGTAATAGCAATCGATTCCCGGCCGAGCTGAACGTTTTGATGTTCGAACGGAGTTTCTGCGATGTGGGAGAAGAATGCTCTATCAGCATTCCCACTAAATCATCTGTGATTTAGAGATAATTTGTAACATTTAATCTCTCTTATTAAGCATTAAGTAGCACTACATAATCATTTATACATAGTTGATGACATTAAAATGTAGTTCTAGGCAGATATAAGGATGTTTTAAAGTGTGTCTATAATTATTATTATTTTATATAATTACATTTATATAAACAATTGTACTGCTATTAATTATCTCGACAATTTTATCACCTCACAATACAATAAGTGTAAATCATAAATTATGAAGTGGATTATTCAGTATTTGTATACTACTTACATATACTAATAGGGGAACCTGAAATGTCACCAGATACTCAGTTAATTACAGTTTATTACAAATAGCATTTTTTTCCAACAAGATCATCTCACATTTTGGAATGAAAGCTTTAATTTCCTTTGTGGTGCACCCATATAAATACAGGCCAATGTCTGTAAGTGAATACATTTGTGTGCAGACATGGAGGGGTGTTTAACGCAGTGGCAGTGGTTGTGAGCTTTCAGGCAGTTTATTGGATGCTAGCAGATTTACACCCCTGTCTAATGAGAGACATCTCAACACTTTAATAACCTCGGCACTGAGCTTGAAGTAGTTTAGTGCCTGAGCTGTGGCTGGGAGGCAGCAGCTGACTGCAGCGAGAGAGGGGTGGCATGTCGGGAGAGGTGACAGACACACAGAATACAACTGGGGTGAGTATAAGAATAGGGGTCTTCCTCAACTTGGGGGCAGAATGATAGGACCCTGGCTGTGGGAGGAGGGGATCTGCAGCTGCTTGACTGAGCTCCAGAATAACTGTGATTTTATCATGAATATTATAAAGACAGTATTGTGTAAAAAAGCATTAATATTCAATTTCAGCTAATATGTCGCTACAGCTAGCTACAGCATTTTCCAACCGTACTGTAAGTAAAAAGGACAACTTTGGTAAAAGGAAAAACTGGTTACACCCAATAGACCAGGCGGTTTTCAGCACACTGCCTGGTTGGAAAAAGACAAGCCACAGACTGTAAGATTAGTGGTGAAAACAAAAACAATGTTTCCAGAAAAAAAGGTCTCCGGGGAGTAAGATTATCACACACACTAACTGATAACTAAGAAAGAAAGAAAACATTCATGGAGGAAAAAGAGGAGAATATCACGATAACAATTTGGAGGAAAAAATTCAGACTAAACAGTCTTCTTCAGGCCTAAATAAACAATAATTTCAATAAAAACGTGTTCAGTCTAATGAAGCTGAGGAGATATAATCCAGAGTGTGGAAATTATCAGCTTTTTCCTTTACTAAATGTCCTATTTGTGTCTTGCCTGACACAGACAAACCATTATAACCCATTAGTGTTTTATTTTAATCTTAACATAACAAGCATTAATTTTTTCTAATCACAAGACATAATCTAAAAACAATGGAGGTCAATGCAAAACTGTTAATCGCGGCACTATCTCAGTATCTGTAAACGTCCTTCTCTTTGTCTCTCAGGTGGGACGACTGTATCAGCACCCTCAGTTTGCCAACGTGCTTCTCTCCTCTTACCCACCTTGTCTGTGCTCACCGCTGTAAACTGATAAGGTCACTTCCTGTTTAACTTTCCATCAGCTCCCGTTTAATCTCTCCACTTAACTCTATCGCTCTGCGTCAGGCTCGCTAAGACAAAAGGCGTCCTCAGTTTGGCTGCCTTCTCAGTGCGCTGGACTCTCTAGCGCCATGTTCAGATTGCCATCGGAGTGGAACCACACTTTCAAGAGAACAAAACATGAGGGCAATCCAATACAACTTGCCCATTGTTAGAAGGAAACATTGTCTCAACATGTGGGGAGAAGGCTTGGTATCCCCAGAGTCAAAATCCTTCTCAAGTTACACCTTCCACAGGTGAATAAAAGCTCATATTGGCACGATGCATACTGGAATATCAATTTGTAATGATTTAGTTTTAAACTAATATAAAATATTTTTAAGAGAAATAAGTGTTTGTTTTATGTGTGTTTGTCTCCCCATTGGCCACTTACGTCCACTTCACCTTGGTCAATCACATAGAAGTTGTCTCCTTCATCGCCTGGAAGGGAGAGACAAGGAGAAACACAGGAGTTTATGAGAGAGCCGGGGAAAAGCATGCAAATGACCTGAAGCCATAAGGAAAGCTATACTTCCTATTACTCCCACCTGCTGCTTAAGATCTTTAAGACTTTCTTCAAGGTTTTTTTAAACCTCTTGGGCTTAAAAAGATTTAAATCATTTGTTAAACACTTGTTAGGATCTGTTTATTTTATGTTTTATTTTGGAATTGTCTAGGACTGTCGGCTTCCTGTTTTTCATTCAAGGATGTTCACCCCCTGTCTGTCATTTGTGTATTTGTTTCCTGTCTGTCCTCCTGTGTGATTACCTGATTCTGTTCACCTGTGTCTTCCCTCCCCTCCCCAGCTGTGTCTTGATTGGCCATGTGTGTATTTAAGTTCTTGTTTTCTGTTGGGGTTTTGTGGATTCCTTTTTGTGCTTCGAGGGAGATAGAGTTCCTGTCTGGTTTTTTGTTGATCCTGTTGCCTTAAATAAAGTTTTTTTTGCTGTTAAACAATCGTCTGTCTGCACTTGGGTCCTCGCTGCGCTGCTCAACCGTAACAGAAGGAACCCACCAAAGATGGACCCAGCATCTACATTCCCTACGAGGTGAAGTACAATTTAATGTGCTTTAAAAAACGACTGTCGACATGCCTCCAGTAGTGAAGAGAGGCAGTCTATTATCTCAACGGCACGCCAAGAAGTAACCTCAAGGCCCTGGTTAAAGCCCCTGTCACACTGTCCCGAAATGTACACCCGATGGACACACGAATATTGAATTGTGAATTTCGCACGAAGATGGCCCCGAACCACACACGAAGGCAACATTTACATTACATTTAAGACATACAACTGCAACGAAAGTAACACAAAGAATTATGTTAAAGTACTATGATACTGTACTGATAGTTTCAGACTTTGTTCTTTACTTTCTCCGTCTTTATATGTAGAAGATATTACGTTTTCTCCGTCATGTTTCCATAGCAACAACAACTTCCTGTCAACTCGCCTTCAAAATAATATATTATATCCTTTTCAGTTTCACAGAACACAAATTGGGTTATTTACATAATCAATCAATCAATGTTTATTTATATAGCCCAATATCACAAATGTTACATTTGTCTCAGTGGACTTCACAGTGTGTACAGAATATCAGTATGACAATACGACACCCTCTGTCCTTAGACCCTCACATCGTACAAGGAAAAACTTCCGAAGAAAACCCACAGTTTAAAGGGAAAAATGGGAGAAACCTCAGGGAGAGCAACAGAGGAGGGATCCCTCTCCCAGGACGGACAGACGTGCAATAGATGCCGTGTGTAAATTGAAAAGATAATACATTTGCAACATAGGTAGTCCAAATGTTTGGAAATGCATGTGTGTATAATAGGAAGATGAATCCACGAGGATATCCATCCAGGACCTATGATCCAGGACCACAGCCACGACTCAAGATCCAGGGCTCGCGATCCAGGACAGAGGAGCGCAGGATCATCCATGACTCCGGATCCCGGCGTATATAGACACCAAAAAGAAAGAAATTTGGGGAAGCTGGGTTAATCGGAACATGAGAGTACACAGGTATAGACAGAGAGAAGGAAGAAGTAAGAAGTCCCCCGACAAACTAAGCCTATATCAGCAAAACTAGGGGCTGAATCTAATCAGCCCTAACTATAAGCTTTATCAAAAAGGAAGGTCTTAAGCGCACTCTTAAAAACGGATAGGGTGTCTGCTGCCCGAACACAAACTGGAAGCTGATTCCACAAATGTGGAGCTTGATAAGAAAAGGCTCTGGTTCCCATTGTACTTTTAGAGACTCTAGGAACAACCAACAACCCTGCATTCTTGGAACGCAATGCCCTAGTAGGACAGTAGGGTATAATGAGTTATTTAAGGTAAGATGGCACCTGCCCATTAAGGGCTTTGTAGGCGAGAAGAATAATTTTGAATTCTATCCTGTGTTCTATAGGGAGCCAGTGTAACGCAGCCAGAACAGGAGTAATGTGGTCCCTTTTCCTAACCCTGGTTAGTACACAAGCTGCAGCATTTTGAAACAGCTGAAGCGACTTGACTGACTTCTTGGTACACCCTGATAATAAAGAGTTACAATAATCCAGCCTTGAAGTAACAAATGCATGGACTAGTTTCTCTGCATTGTTTTGAGGCAAGATATGCCTGATTTTTGCAATGTTACGTAGATGAGAGTAGGCGGTCCTTGAAATTGATTTTATGTGGGCGTTAAAGGATAAATCCTGATCAAATATAACACCAAGATTCCTTACAGTCTCACTGGAGGCCAAATTAATGCCATCCATAGTTAGTATATCTTTAGATAATTTGTTTCGTAGATTCTTCGGGCCAAGTACAATAACTTCAGTTTTGGTCGTGGTTAACATCAAAAAGTTGAAGGTCATCCACGTTTTTAAGTCATTGAGGCAGTCTTGAATTGTATTTAGATGATTAATTTCATCAGGCTTGATTGATAAATATAGTTGAGTATCATCCGCATAACAATGAAAATAATATGTTTACATAATTTTGTTGTGCAATAAAACAACCAGATGGACACACGATAAAGGAAATGTTCAAATTCGGCTCTGATCGTAGCAACATCGGGCCATTCGTGAGGGTATCTTAAGCCTTCGTATGACTGCCAGTGGAGTTTCTCAGGCTCCGGCAGCAACTTCGTGAGCGGTGGCAAAATCTATAGGCAAAAAAAATAGCCGAATTCGTGTGTCAATCTTGCCCTTAGTAAGGCCATCGTTAGGGCATCTTGTTATCATCGGTGCCATCGGGCATTTGCCCCGATCAGAGTGAGGGCGAATGCACCGACGATAACACGAAGATGACACGACTTGACAAGATGCCCTCACGAGTACCTTACGAAGTTGCCGCTCACGAAGTTGCTGCCGGAGCCTGAGAAACTCCACCGGCGGTCATACGATGGCTTAAGATGCCCTCACGAATGGCCCGATGTTGCTACGATCACAGCCAAATTTGAACATTTCCTTTATCGTGTGTCCATCGGGTGTCAATTTCGGGACAGTGTGACAGGGGCTTTAGGAAGTTACTACCCGAGTGGGTGGAGGACTTTTTTGGTAGCTTTGAGGTCAAACCTGTTTCCCGGCATGCTAGCCCCTGGCATGCTAGCCCCCTGCCGGCCACAGTTCCCAACAAGGCTCCTTTCAAGGATCGTTTCGCTGGGTCTCGTCTGGCCTTTGGAGGACCTCTGAGACTCCACAAGGCTTCAAGGCAGCATGGAAGGAAACGCAAGGCCAGGATTCCAGCCCCGGCAGCCATGGTTCCAGCTCCGGTCTTGGCCCCAGCAGCCATGGTTCCGGCTCCGGTACCGGCCCCAGCAGCCATGGTCCCGGCCCCAGCAGCCATGGTCCCAGCCCCAGAAGACATGGTTCAGGCCCTGGTTCCGGCCCCAGCAGCCATGGTCCCTCCTCTAGTCCCTACTCAATTCCCTTCTCAAGTCCCTCCTCTAGTGCCTCCTCTAGTCCCTCCTCTAGTACCCTCACAAGTCCCCTCTCGAGTCCCCTCTCGAGTCCCCTCTCGAGTCACCTCTCGAGTCCCCTTTCGAGTCACCTCTCGAGTCCCCTCTCGAGTCCCCTCTCAAGTCCCTACCCTATGTCCTGTCCCGTTGGGGGTCCCGCCGACTACTCTTCTGTCGGGGGTCCTGCCAACCCTATGTCCTTTGCCGTTGGAGGTTCGGCCGACTATTCTGCCGGGGGTCCTGCTAACCCTATGTCCTGTGCCGTTGGAGGCCCCGTTGATTACTGTTCTGTCGGGGGTCCTGCCGGCACCAGGTCCTGTCCTGTTGGGGGTCCCGCCGACGCCTGCTCCGCCGGGTTTCCTGCCAGCACCGTGTCCTGTCCTGTAGGGGGTCCCGCCGGCGCCTGCTCCGCCGGGTTTCCTGCCGGCACCGTGTCCTGTCCTGTTGGGGGTCCCGCCGACACGTGCTCCGCCGGGTTTCCTGCTGGCACCGTGTCCTGTCCTGTTTGGAGTCCTGTCGACACCAGCCCTTGCTCCGTCGTGGGTCCCACTAGCACCGGCCCGTGTTCCCTCCGGGGTCCCGTCTGCGCCTGACCCGCCAGGGGTTCCACCAGCTCCTGCCGCCCTTGTGCCCGGCCCCCTGAGTTCCCCAGCCGCGGCCTTCGCCTTCGAGCCCGGCCCCCTGAGTTTGCCCGCTGTGAACTCTGCTTTGCTCCGTCCGCCCAAGTCCCCCTTCTCGACCTCTGCCGTGCCCCGTGCCGCCCGCCCAGATCGCTCCTCCGGACCCCCTCCATCCGTCCTTCTTGACTTTTTAGGGACGTCTGGGATCCGTCCCTTGAGGGGGGGATTATGTTAGGATCGGTTTGTTTTATGTTTTATTTTGGAATTGTCTAGGACTGTCGGCTTCCTGTTTTTCATTCAAGGATGTTCACCCCCTGTCTGTCATGTGTGTATTTGTTTCCTGTCTGTGTTTTCCCTCCTGTGTGATTACCTGATTCTGTTCACCTGTGTCTTTGTGTTTTCCCTCCCCTCCCCAGCTGTGTCTTGATTGGCCATGTGTGTATTTAAGTTCTTGTTTTCTGTTGGGGTTTTGTGGGTTCCTTTTTGTGCTTAGAGGGAGATAGAATTCCTGTCTGGTTTTTTGTTGATCCTGTTGCCTTGAATAAAGTTTTTTTTTGCTGTTAAACAATCGTCTGTCTGCACTTGGGTCCTCCCTGTGCTGCTCAACCGTAACAACACTTGGAATACCAGTTTGTGAACTTAAGAACAAAAATAATCCCGAAACTTCTACATAAACCCACACATGTGTACATTTTCTCATACTCATCATCCTTTGTGTCAACATCCCTTCTCCTTAATAAGAGTTCTGAATTTATGGTCTTACTATTATTTTTCTTTTGGTGGTTATTCATTACCCCTGAAAGCATCAGGGCAGACCCAGCGTCAAAGATACCGCTTTCTCCTCCAGAATGCATATTTCACTGGGCCTGCCAATATTTTGGTGAAAATGGGCTCTCTCCAGCAAACGGCAGCGCTTACAACCGCTGCTTGAGTAGCTTAATAGTGGAAACTCTAAAACAGAAATGCTTGAGCATGCAGAGCAAAACCACCTGAGCACGAATTCAAGAGAATGATTCAGAGTAATATATGCAACAGACGTCAGCTGGTTTGAGACATTGCTAATGTACATAGAATATGAACAAAATAATTATATTATTATAATCCTTTTGAGATTTTTCCTTTTCAAAACAGAAGAGGATGTAATGCTCATATTACAAAAAAATTGTTTGCTGTGTGTCCTCCATTTTCCAAGAGCTTGGTCTTTTGCTACTAATTTTTGAGTAGCTATCAAATGTGCCTGACAACTCAAAATGTTGTCTGGTTGTCTGACTGGCTCCCTGTTGTGTCATTGACAGTGGCATGCTGTGCTCTCAAAGCTAACCCCAAACCCTTGAAGTGAGCCATGGGATCTTGTCCACTGAAAGCATCTAGTCTGGAGATAAGGCTGAAAAATGGTGAAGTGTTCCTTTAATTATGGTATCTGTTACATGGGGCTCAGGAAATTATGAAGAAGGACATACGAAAGCAATGTGAAGCTCTTCCAGCAGCTTCCTCCTACAATAAGACACACATGCAACTCCATTCAGAGATACAAGAGGGTGATGATGCATGAGTATACATGACACAAGTATGCGCGTGTATGCATTTTGTGAAGGTGTGTGTGACTGTGTGCATTTGTTATCTTTTGTGTATTTTCACCTGAAGAGCTGAAAAGCTGAGAGCACCCCGTGTGTAAAGTTCACAATAGTTCACACGGCTAATTAATACTGGGTAGAGAGTGCTCGTTAATCACAAAGCTCTACAGGTCACACAAAACGCTCCTTGTCTGTCTGATGGTCTGCACACACACACACACACACACACACACACACACACACACACACACACACACACACACACACACACACACACACACACACACACACACACACACACACACACACACACACACTGCTGCAACCTGGCCCTCTTCTATCTTCCTCTCTCTTTCATCTGATCTATCTCTCTTTCAATTCCCTCTCACTCTGTCTTTCTTTTCTTCTACTCTTCCTGTCTTTTATCACTTTGGTGCTCAAGTCTTTGTTTTGCAACTTCCAATCCCCCTGTGCCTGAGAGTGCAGGCAAATATTTGATCAGAATGTGCACAGACACACAGACACACACACACACAGGAATGTGTACTTAGTGTTGAACCGTGTCAACACAAGCTAATTGCCGTTAACAGTTAAGGTTCTTTGAGTTTGGTCAAAAGGAATACATGCGTTACATCCGTGGACTGTAAGGTGTGTATTGTAGCCACAGTGCTGCATGGTGCACCAGAAAGCTAGAAACTTCCATGTTTCAAAACTCTAATTTTGTAATCTGATAACTCAAATATTGATACATACATCAAATCTTACTATTAACAAATATCATCAACGGACCAATTGCTTACAACTGCAAAACTGGATATACTATGTTTCAGAAACATCAGATAGATTAAATGTACTTGATAGACAATAAATGTCAATGAAAATACCTCCATACTCCATTTTGAATGTACATTTTCACTCTGTTTAAATACCACTTGAGCCACAGAGTCGGCAACTCGTAGCTGTTTCTAAATACTGTGTGATGGGCGAATAGCAGGGGAGCTTCTTTTTTAAAGCTTTACAGTAGTCCAGACATCAGCAATGACATCAGCGCCATATATAATGTATACCACACTCTATGGTGTATATAACAATGGGCTGTCTGGGACTGGGGGCCCTGCAAAGTTAGCTAGACTTATTATCACCAAATTAGGACTGACCTACCCCTGGATGCTGTCTTAAGAGTAGGTGGGAGTGACAGAGCGGGTGTGTGTTCAAAAGCCTATAGTTTGCCTTCACTTAATGTCTAAGAGAATGTGTAAGCGCGGCATGTTCGACAAGTGTAACCTATGTGCTTTCTGAGCAGGTGTGAACACAGTATTATCGGAAATTGTCTGCGGTTGTCTGTGAGAATGTGTGTTTTCAGTGTTTTAAATATGTGATTAGGTCTGTGTCTGTGGTTGATAGCAGTTTGAGTGGGGGGCACAGGAAAAATACAGTCTGGCCCTGTGTTCAGCTCTGTGTTCCTTCAAAGTCCTGGGATGTCTAGAGCGAAGGCTTTGACGACTGTGGTTAGGCAGAAGAGGGACATGACATCTGGTGCAGACTAAGGGAATGTATTAGTGGGGCAAAGAGAAGAAAAGGGAGGGAACAAGGGAGTGGTGGGACAAATTAACTTGAGTGGCAGTGTAATACATGAATTCTTCAAGAATAGGGCCCTATTTTCAAGGCAACATAACTACAAGAGCAGTCAACGATCTGATAATATGGTGTTTCTTGACATTGGAATTCACTTTGCCAATCTGCATGGTAAGGCGAAGAAGATGGAGCAGATGCGCACTCAGGTAGGATATTCTTTCAAATGACGAAGCGTGAAGCACATTTTTTGTATTTTATTTAAATATGTGTGTTCTACTTTAATTTGTTTGTTAGTTTGTTTTTCTGTTAATCAGCAGATCAGCAAAAGCAAGGAAGAGTAAATGGACCAGTTCCACATACCTTGCTGGATGACTGTTTCCCCTGCGATGTGGGTGACTGGGAACATGGCATCAAATATGTCACTGAAGGAGAGACAGACAGAGTGTGGAGGAAGAAAATAGAAAAAAGGAGGGAGAACACAGTTAATACCAACATACCTGCTATTATGGAGATTACACCACAGTCCCTGAGCATTGTTAACTTACTCACTCACACAACAGTATGTGTGGAAGAAGAGCGGCATGATGGGAAAGGCAGAGAAGCCATCGTCCCTGTATCAACTCTATCAGCTGCTAGCATAGCTGAAGAGACAGGCCTGAGAACTCTGGATGACCCCAACACATTAACGTGCACTAAACGCATCCACCTGCATGTGTACACAACTGATTTCTTCATCATCATCCACATCCAAATAAACACCCACAACTATTTGTTAAAACAATCATAAGGAACAAATGTTTGCCAATAAGGACAGGGTTTAAACTAATAAATCATCAAGCTCAAAACCATAAGTTCTGTAGTTTTTGGCAAAGATATTATATTATACATAATATATATATATGTAGTGGTGTAAAAATAAACTTTTGTTTCAATGAAGAGATTATTACCATCAGATAAACATTGCAAAGCTGCAGGCTCGTTCTGTTTCTGTACATCGTATTAGTCCTGCACGGGGGCTTAAACATGAGTGTGTTGCTTCAACAGATAATCAAAGCCCGTACCTCTGAGTGTATCTTTTGAAAAAGGCACTGAGAAAACAAACAAAATGATGGCTGTGCCTAAGCACTTAATTTCTGTTTCAGCCAGGCAGAGAAAGCGCCTGTTAGACTGTTCCTAATCAGGCCGTTTAAATGCATGAAGCCTCGGCAGATTAAAGTTCCACTGCTGCGATGTGTTGAGACAAGAGAAAAGTCTGTTTCCTTCCTCTCCGCCTTTCTGCCCCTCTTTCACCTTCAGGGTATATTTATCTATCTAATCAGTTGCATACCACCCGTCTTATAGAGAAATATAGAAAAAACAATAAGAGGGTCAGGCATATCAAAGACATACAAGACCTGCTGAGTGAATGTGGAGCAAGTTTGAGCCCGTTCCCAAATGATGTTTGTGTGTGTCACTGAATGTGTGTGTTTGCACAGATTGTGTCTGTGTCTCAGTATATATTACTTCTGAAAACACACAGGTTTGTACCAAATAATGCGTAGGTTTTGAATATTTCTTGGCTCATGGCAGAACACTAGACAGCAAGACACCTTGCTGCACACAACAGACATAAAAGTGTTGCTTTTCATGATTCGACCCGGTAAAGAAACGGCAGGTCAACAGATGTTGGAGAAGATCTGAGGATGTTATTGAGTGGTTTGGAAGTGAACGGACCCTGTTGGTATTTTTTTATGTGACAAGGAATAAAAAGCAGACTTAAGAAGGTGGGTTTGAGCCAACAACAACCACAGGTAGGCCCAGTGCGATGCAGCTGGCCACTGACTCACACACAAAAAACACACTTTCTCTTTGAAGTGTAAAGCACAGGCTCAAAGATGCACATGCAGGACGGAGTCCAGAACAAATTTCCTTACGGGGACAATAAAGTATATCGTATCGTATGAACACAACTTCCAATATATGCACGTGGTACTATGGTTGCAGCTAGTACACTGCATGTCAAAACACTCACACACACTTGGTAACACAACAACATATTTGAGCACAGGCATTCATGAGGGAAACACGCAAACTGGCACATATGACAAACAAACACATTGGCTTTGATGAGGATTAGTCAGGGCAACATCTGCACGAGTCTCTCAACTCTCCTCACGTCTGTGACCACCTGCTCTCTGCATGGAGTCTGTTTAGTCAGGGACATGGTCACGTAACTAATAATGTGTAGAAAACCAGCATATACAAGTCACTTTCATGCAATGTTTCAATGCTATCTAACTCAAGACAGCTTGTTATTAGGCATGAGCTATTGTTAATGATACTGTTGATGATGATCATCACGCACTAAGTAGGATGCTCACCCTCTCTCTGACAGAGTGAATACTGTTTGTATTCAGAATCACAGTTAAACGAAGCTCCCTTCTCTTATGGTGTAGCTTGGACTAAATAAAACGTGAACATGGTCTCCAAGATGTCACCCAAAGGACTTTGAAGAGCCGTTATGAAAGTGAGCAGCTTTGGTCATCTCCATCTTGGCAGTAATGCCACCCTCTAACTCCCAGCTTTCCAAAATATGGGCAATGTTGGATGACTTTGAGGCGGGCTAGAGTGGCGCAGCTGTTAGTATGAATAGTACAAAAATTCACCGCCTGCACAAGCTGTAGAGTTTACTGCTTTCTAAGGTAGAAAAGGATTTAATTGATCTTGGATACAATGTAACCAAGTTGTTTATCTGTAAGACAATGTTAAATGTCACCTAGTAAATGTTTGCATGACTGGCACAGAATGGCATTGCACGCGGTCAGTACCGTTGGCAGCTGGTTCAGTCAGTATCAGTGCAGACTTGCTGTTGGAGGGTTTTACAGCCGCCCACACCCACTCCCCGCTTATTTATTTGGAATGATCCAGTTCCTCTACACTAAAACGGAGTTGATGGGGATAGGGAGATGGCGTAGTGGCCGGATTGCAATTGGGCCACAGTCATAGCGAGGGGATCAAAGACGAGCTAACACGTGGTAAGGTAATTACCCTTGACCACCTCCCTCTCTCCATGCCCTGCCTCTCGCTGAATGCATCGATGAGCTCAACAATGACACTTATGCAGGTAATTACTTCCCCTCATCTCTACCTGTCTCTCTTTCCCTTTCTTCATCCCCAACTTCCTCCCTGTCTACTCTCCATCACTTTTTCTCTTCCTCTCCCCTCTCAATTACCCCTTTCTTCCCTCTAATTCTCTCGCAGGCCCACCTATTTCTCTCATCTCTCGGTCTATCGCCCCCTCCCTCCCTGTCCCAGATGAAGTGATTAATCTTGTCCTTTCCGCTACCTGTAGAACCTCTGACCTTATTTAAAGGTAGAGCCCCCCCCCTCAACAATGGATGTGTTGTTCTGATAGAGACAGAGAGAGAAAGAGAGAGAGAGAGAGAGAGAGAGAGAGACCCTGCAGACTCTAAGGGAAGTTCACCTCAACCCTCAGGAGGGAGAATAGGCTTGTGTCATGGTTCAGATATGTGGAAATACTTCCCTGCGACAAATGTACACATGCATGTAAGAACATACACCGAAAAATATAACATATACATATAATGCCATTCTAATCTAAGTGGTTATTATCCTGTGCACACACACAGTCCATATACGTACATGTGTGATGTGTAGTGCGTTGCTTGGATGGGTCTGTTTGCATCTAGAGAAAATGACACCGTTCTGAATCATGGTAGGGAAGCAGCAGAGACTGGTGAAGCAAAAAATATGATTAAAATCTAAATGAATACAACGAGACAAAAGAGACACCTTTATGCAATGCCCTGCCTTACAATATGTTGTGCTCATCAGGAAACTGTGCTTTTTTGTAATGAGATTAACCAAGGAACAGGGGAAATGTAGCTGCCAGGTCAGGTTGCAGGTCAGATTTGACAACACATCGAGTGCATACAGACGTGTGTGTGTGTGTTTTTGCAGGAAGGAATGGAAAAGCTTATGTGCGCCTTCACTCTCTTTTACATACAAGCACACAAATACGCAGCAACAGCCTATTATTGTTCTCAAACAGCCATAAAACTGTAGTTAGCTTGGGGGATTTCAGTCATTAATTACATAAACTCAGGCCTGCTTGTTGTAGCTGGATTGCTTGTTGTTCTTAGTTGGCGAAGACTGCCTTTCTCCATCACCTCTTCCCTTCTTGCTGTTAATCTCTCCTACAACACAGCTGTTTATTTGTTCAGCAGCAGACGCCTTATCTCTTACATTACTACCTCAACACACAGCAGCGCCATTATGCCATTAACACCAAGGGTCTCTTAAACAGTGCAGCATGCTGCCATGTCTTTGTTTAACTTAATGGGCCGCAGAATGTTGAGTTACACAAGCCCTTAATGGTGCACCCATCCAGAATGCTCACTCGTCTAGATAGAACACGTTTTGCAATAACCCAAACAATCAACAACTGCACCACGTATTGGAACTTCCCCGCCCTCCAAGTTTGTTCTTGGCAGTGATTCGCCACTGGTTTGGCTGGCACAGCGTTCATACCGTAAGAGCTTGAAGGATTATTTACACAACCACAGTTGATAGTAATTCGGATTACTGATTCTGGCAAATCAGAACAATAGTCTTTGTTTTACAAGTCTCCACAATATTATATAAGAACTGGCTTAGGGACAACAAATCTACACTTGATTTGTGTTATAAATGTACGTTTTGAAGGCTTATCAAAGGCAGGAGAGTGACATGGTGATTCTTCATCTGGAAAGACAAAGTTTAATCAAATAAATTAACAAAAAGGGCTGCCTGACTCTGATCTCCCTGTAAATGCAGTAGAGGAAAACCAATCCTACAAGGATAACACAAATCAACATTATAACATTATACTGTACAAGGGTGAAAAGATCCATCAAAGGGCCAAATTATATACAAATATAAAACAGGTTAAAAATGCTTCATTCCTTATTAATCATGATCTGCTCTTACACATTTTACAACCCTTAGGACTCCAATGTAAGAATGAGTAAGCTATGAGATGGATATGCAGATGATATTATGTTTCCAGGAGTCCTGCCGGCTGATTGACTTTGTAATGTTTGACAGAAACTATTCTGCATACTAACTGAAGCCTACAGAGAGTTTAAAGCTCTGGGAGGACTGCATTGTGTATACTATCATCACATTTTCCCTAAGTGGCACGTTGCTATGAAAAACATGTATTGGTTTTTGTAAGGCTGCCAGGTGAAGAGTTGTGATTAGTCAGCATAATGTTTAAATCACAAGTGAACTCACATAAAAGGATCAAAACATACATTACGTTTTCACTGATGATGTAGGCTAACTGAATTGTTTACTAGCCTGTTGTGTGACTCATTATGTGTATATCACAGTCAGATGGAAAACAGCTTTACGAGGCTGACTAAGTGGCTTACAGTTTAAT